TGGAGGGTTCACCATTACTCTTCCTCAACTCATAATTCACCAGCACCGAGATCACCTCATTATAGCTAACAATAGTTCTTCAATTTATCATAGTGAGAACGAACGCACCATAATCATCCTCCGACAACGAACACAAAAGTAGCATTCCTCAACCATGATATCCATATTGGTCATATCTGAAAGTAGGTTCGTGAAATTATTGACATGCTCTTTAATGGAAACTCCCCTCTTCATCTTGATCTGGTAAAATATCTTTTTCAAGTGAAGTCGATTCTCAATGATCTTTGTAAGATACTTCTCATTGAGCGTTTTCTACAATCTTTTCGTTAACGTCTCGTTTATCACATCATAAATAAGATTCGGCATCAAGCATGACTAAATAACTCCACAAGCCCTACTGTTCATCTTCTTCCAAACTTTGTCCTCCATATCAGCGGATTTCTCTTATAACTCAAGAGTCTGCTTCAAATTCTGTGCATCCAACGCGTCCATCACCTGACACCTCCACAAATCGAAATTGATCTTGCCGTCGAACTTCAGAACATCAATCTTAGTGTTATTGATACTCAGACTCTGTATCGTCTTTGTAAGAGACGAACCTGATGTGTCTGCTTCTCTCATGTTGTCGATCTAACTCTTCAAATAGGAATCCTTTAGCGAATCCTTCGAACAAGCCCCAAGCCAAATCCGAAGCTTTGATACCACTTGTTGTGCGCAGCGGAACTCGAATCACATGAACAAGAACGAGATAAATCACAACCAATCAAGCAAAACCCAATACCACAGCAAGCCAAATAAATTTTACGTGGTTTAGCAAGTTGTCTACGTCTACGGGACAAGGAGGGGGTGTTCTTACTATTAAAAATCAAGAGAATACAAATCGGGTTATAAATCTCACCAAAAACCCTCAAACAAAGCTCTCTAAATCTCTCACAAATCTCCCACAATTGGATGCAACAAACCCCTCTCAAAGACTGCTCAAAACATCCTTACTTAACCTTAATTATTCACGTTTAGGGTTTTATACAATCAGCAAATGAAACGGGTTGAAAACCCAAACCTAGCTGCAGACCCAATTGGCGGTCGACCGTCAAATTCGTCGCGGTTGACCGCCCAGCACTCGATAGAACAGAAAATCATTACAGGGTACTCACGGTCGACCGCGACGGTCGACCGAATCAAATCCCGAGATAAAAATCCATTACAGGGTCCGTGCGGTCGACCGCGACGGTCGACTGCCTCAACTCAGAACTCAGCTGGACCTTGTGCACGTTTCCGGTCGACAACCGCTGACTCGCGCTCGAACGACAAACATCCTAGCAGTTTTTCTGTTGAATTTCCTGAGCTGTTTTAACTGCGTTCACCAATCCTTCACTTTATACTAGGACAATATTCTTTATGCTTCAGAAATCAGAAGAAATTTATAGCAAGCCTTGCAAGAGTGGCAAACTTGACAAGCAAAGATGGAGTATTTGAGTCACATGATGTGATGTTAAGGAGATTGATGAGAAACATGAAGTTTTTGTTGTGAAATTCAATTCTGAGAATATTGCTGCAAATTACAGTTGCCAGTTATTTGAGTTTGATGGTGTTTTGTACAAACATATTTTAACCACCTTCAAGATAAAACATTTAGAGAAATCCTCAGCTCCCTCAAAGATATATTGATGAGTTGATGAGGATAATAATAACAAATTTTTCATATTTGTTTATTTGATTTTTTTTAGTTTTGAATAAGAAAGATTTGACAAGTTTGACTAGATCCTAATTTAGTTTTAATTGCGAGAGATTTGAGGGATTTTTCTATTTTGGTAAGGTTTTATTGAGAGATTTGACTATATCTTTTTTTTGGTTTGTTTCCATTTTTATTGCACATTATGTGCACATAGTTTTTCTTTATAAATAAGGTTGTATGAGGCATTGAAAAGCAATGAAGAGAAATGATTAAAAATTGAGTTTTTTTTCCTCAAATGAGAATTCCTTTGTATTTGGTGTGTGAAACCCTAGTTCCTTATCCCCTTAGATCTAAGTGTGTGAAATCGTATTTCTTATTCCCAATTCCATCCATCCATCCTCCAGCAGATCCGTCAACCCTCCTGTTTCTTCTCCTCCTCCGCAAGCGCCGCACCCTGCACTTTCTCCTCCCCTCCACCGAACTCTTGCAACCTTCACAAGCCACCCCCCTGCTGATCTCCTCCTTACAACAACCGCCTTTTCCCGCTCTCCTCCACTCCGATCAGTCACCGCCCCTTACCCCTGCTTCTCTCCGCCTTCACGCAACCCCCCCCCTGCTCTCCTCCACCCCGAGCAGCCCCACCAGCCTCTTCCTAACACCACATCGACTTCCGGTCTGACGCCGCGTCCTCCCGTCATTAGTGCCTTCCAGTTGCCCGCATCGTCATGTCGCCCGCGTCCACTCGTCGACCATGTTCTCTCCGGTCAGTTTCTTGCAACCATCCCATTCCTCCGCATCGACGAGCACCCGAACACGATAGTGAATCGTCGAACCCACCGAAGCGCATTTGCAGAGTAACAGCCCGTTGGTTAGTTATGATTTATTTTCCAAATTATTTTTCTGTTAATCTCATTTTATTAGTTAATTGCATGAGTATTCCATCTCTAAACTCTTATCATATATTCACTGTTTAAATTATATTTGTAAGTTGAGAGCCATTGAGCATGTGACTGTTAAAATTTAATATTAACTGTAGAACTTGTGCATGATAATGAATATTGCAATTAAATTGATTGAGATTGGAATTATTCATAATTATTGATGCAAATTTTGTTAAATTCATCTGTCACATTAATTGTTTTGAATTTAATTCTCATCAAAGATCATGGAATTTGGTGAAACGATGCATTATTTGATTTAAATCGCCGATTCTGATAGACCCCCTGTTCCGTTTCACATAATATATTTAACACTATAAATGTTTCACCTTTTGAGGATGTTGAAGCTTCTTTAACCATGAGCTTCAATAATTTATGCTTTGAAGCTATAGAACTAACAGAGGTGGCTTCATGACCAAAGAAGGTTACTACATGACACTAAACACATTGAGAGAAATCCTCAGCTCCATTAAAGATAATATGGCCATAACTGAAATTTTGGGTCACAATGGAAGTACTTCTCAAAATGAACATAGACTAGCGAGAATGAATGGAACAAATTATACGACAAGTGAAGACATTGTTCAAAATCCGAAACGGGCTACAGTTATAGGTCGGATGTCAAATGCTAGAATCCAGCCAACGTTAGAAAGAAACACCGCAAAGAGCTTAAGAAAATGTAGAATGTCTAAAGACCTAGCAGCTCATGATAGCCGCAATTGCCGGTTAAGTCCAAAACGAAATAAAAATGCTATGGTAAGTCATTTTTATTGGACTCGTATAATCCACTTTATAACTATCTTTTTGCTTTGTCATTTGAAGACTAATCATCTCATTTGTCTATATTATTTCAGGATCCTTCCAATATAAGTGTGATGTCTAATCATAACAACAATAATGACAATATTTTCACAGTATTAGTTTGCTTAGATTCTTTTTATTTTTTTGAGCTTTTAGTTATTTGCATACAACACATGTTTAACTTGCAACGTAATTTACATATTTTGCAGAATCAAATAGAAGTTATGAAAATTTCAGCTTATCCATCTATTCAAGGGACAAGTTAAAGTTATTTCTACGGAATTAAAGAGTTGGTGGACTATACTTAACTTGCAAGCTGTTAGAAGATTTTAGTTCTATGCATAGATTATTGCACAAGTAGATATGTTAGCGTATGAAATTGTGTAACCTACATTTTATTGTAGTTCTGAGCAAGAGGCTACTATTTCTGAAGCTCCATGAGGTTTATCATTATTAAATTACACTTTAGGATTTTATCTTAATTTATTTCATGAGTATTATGGACTGTATCTTATTATGCCGGATCACGTTTCAGATTTCACTGAATGTGTACATCAATCTAATTAGTTATTAGCAACTGAATTGAAAAATAAAATTATAAGAAAATGTTAGAGGAAAGAAATGCAAATGGACTCTCTCTCTCTCTCTCTCTCTCTATATATATATATATATATATATCTTTTCATATCTTGCATGGATTCCTAGGTATCATCAATGGATAGAAAGTTTGGCGAATGGTCCACTTAAGTTGACATAAGTTTTTCTCTATATGTATATGTGTGTGTGTATAATTTATTGTTTTTCAAAAAAACAAAATAATAAGAAAATAGTGTTGAGGAAGGTGTGATAGCAGACTATGTGGATTAGGCATCATGGCTAAATAAATTGTTACATGTAAAACAGAAACAAACCTAAGTAATTAATAAAAAAAATCAAAGACTTAAAAGGGAAATAAAACTCATGTAGGCTAAAAAGGAAATGGAGTTCTTTAAGCAGGAAACACAGTAAACTTTCTTCCCACATGATTATGAGATATCTAACCTTATCAATCAACAAGATCCAACGGTGAAGGGAGGTGTGTGCAACTATCTTATTTACACCCTATGTACACTGTAACTGAACTGTGTGTGTGTTATATATAATCTTTTTTTATTTGCACTGT